GGCCTCCCCCTCCCTCCTCTTAACCTCCTTTGGCCACCGGCCGTCCGGCAACTGCACGTGCCGGTCCCCTGTTGTCCTCGCGGCTTGCTACCTTTTTACACAACATACTTAATCCATACATATCATAGCAGCACCCTTCCTATGTTGCCCCTAATGTCCGAATCCACCCGTGGTCTTCGTCCTCTTTGGGCCGTTCTTGCTTTCCCTCCCCCTCCCCCCCCCCCTGCTCCTTTATCTTCCCTACACACACACACACCATACTTAGGAGTAGCGACTACTACATCTAGCATCACGATCCTTAAGCCTCTTCCCTCCCCTATCGCCTCACAGTCTTCTATAGACCTTCCTCTTCCTTGTTGTTCTCCCTTGCCGCCTGTTTCTGGGATTTGCCTCTTGTTTTTTTCCGCAGTGCCACACTCCGGCTCCATCCCTGGGGTCCGTTGTTGCTCGCTCCCGCGCCCCACCTGGCCCTCCCCACCTTCTGTCCCCCTGCTCTCCCTTTTGCCCCCTCCCTTCCCCCTTCTGCCCTTTGCGCTTTTCCCCTCCCCTCTTCCCCACTGGGTTGTCCGCTTTGGTCCTCGCTCTTCCACTTTCCCGTTCCTCCCTCGCTTGGTCTCCCTTCTTGCCCCCTCCACCTTGTTTGCTTTGCCTCCTTTTCTGTGGTTTTTCTGGCCCGCTGCGCCGTGCCTTGCCCTGCCCCGGTCCGTCCTCTCTCTCTGCTCCCTCTGCTCCTGTCCCCTCCCCCTGCTGGCTTGCTCTTTTTCTTCCTCCTGCCGCCCTCCTCCCTCGTTCGTGCCTTCCTATCTCTTGGCCTGTCCCTGCCCCGCGCCCTCCCCTTTGGCCCCCGCCCTTCCGCTGCTTTCTCTGCCGGCCTTGCCCTCCCCCTCCTCTCTGGCTTGCCTCCCCTCTCTTCCCTGTTTTCCTCGTTCGTGCGCCCCCTCTCCCTTTCTCTCTTGCTCCGCTTTTCCCCCTTCCTCCCCCTTTCCTGCCCCCTCTCCGCCGCCTTCTCTTGGTCCCCGCCCCCCCCCCTGTTTCCTGGCCGCCGCGCTTCCCCCTTCTACCTGCCGCTTCTGCCCTGCCTGCCCCTTGGCCTGCCCCCGCCCGGGCGCGCCCCCCTCTGCGCACGTCTCCCCCGGTGGGTCGCTTCCGCGCTGGTCGCCCCTCGTCCCCTCTCGCCGCCTTGCTCGCCCTTTCCTCTTCCCGCCCCCCCCCTCCCTTGTTTCCCCGTGGCTTCCCCCGCGTCCTTCCTCCTTTCGGCCTTTGCCCTGGCTTTCCCCTCCCTCTCCCCCCCCACCTCCCCCTTTTCTCTCCCTCCCCTCCTCCTGCTCCGTTGCTCGCTTTTCTCATTTTCTGTCCCTCCCCTGGCCCGTCGTCTTTCCCTCTCCTTTTCTCTGTCGTTCCTCCGTTTCCCCCCCTCCCCGTTTCCGCCCCCTGTCCGTGCCTCCTCCTGCTCTCCCGCCCCCGTTGCCCCCCCCTTCCTGTCGGGCCGGCCCGCCTTGCGCCGGTCCGTGCCCCTGGCTCCTGCTCCGCCTTGCGGTGCCGTCTGGGTTGCTCCCCCTCCTTGTGCTTCCCTTGCTGCCCTCCTCCCTGGCGTTGTCCTTGCTTTCTTCCGTTTCCCTTTGTCCCGTTGTTGGCCGTCCCAGCCTTCTCCTTGTCCTGCCCTGTGGGTCGTCCTTTGTGGGCCGCCTCCGCCGTGTTGTTTGCTCCTCGCTGGCTTCTTCCGCTTGGGTCTCTGGCCCCGTCGGTTCGCTCGTCCTCCCCCGTCTCTTGTTGTTGGCGGCCCCCCCTCCCCTCCTTTGCCCTCTCCTCTTCTCCCCTTTCCTCTCCGGCTCCCCTCCCCTTGTCCTTTCCTCGCCTGTTCGGTCCCCCCCCTTCCTGTCCCTGTCCCCGTCCTGTGTCCGCGGTGGGCCCGTGGTTTCCTGGCCTGTTTCTGTGCTGGGCCCTCTGGTTTGCTTTTTTTTTGCTGCCGTTGCTTGCTCTGCCTGGCTTCTGCGCCTGCGGCCTGCTTCTGCGCCCCCCCGGCTCTCGCGTGCCCTTTTACTCCCTTTCTTCGCGTGCTCCCATTGTGTGGTTTGCGCTTTCCTGGCCCGCTCCCCTCCCCCGTCGCCCTCTCTGCCCCTTTTCGGCCCCCTCCTCTCGCCTTGGTTCCGTCTGGCCCGTGGTCCGCTACTCCGTGTGTCCGCCCCGGCCCGTCTTGTCCCTGCCCTGCTGCCTTCGCTCCCCCGCCTTCCCCTCTGCTCCCTTTCCCCCCTTTCCCCTCCGGCGCGCGCGCGAGCGCGCGCTCTTGGCCTTCTCCTCCCCTTTCCTTCCTCGTCTCCCTTCCGTCTTCGCCCCTTGCCCTGGCCCGCCCGCTTCCTGCCTCCCTTTACCCCTTTCCGCCACTTCCCCCACCCTCTTCTCCCTGGCCTGCCCCTTCGCTTTGCCGCCCCTTGCTCCGCCCCCCTCGCCCCGCCCCCGCCGCTTGGCCTTCGTCGCCGTGTTCCCGTCCCCCCGCCCCCTCTTTATCCCCGTCTGCTTGCCCCTGTTCGGCCCTCTCGCTGTCTTTCGCCCACTGCCGCCCCGCCGCTTTCCCCCTTCGCCCGTCCGCCCCGTTCCTTTCCCCCTTCCCCCTCCTCCTCTCGCTTTTGCGTCCCTCCCCCGCCCATCGCGTCCTGCCCCCCCGTCTTCTTACCGTCCCATGTCCTTCTCTCCGCTTGCCCCCCCGTGCCCTCGGGTTTTCCTCCCCCTGTTCCGCCGCGTGCCTGGCCCGGTTGTCCCCTGCCCTTCTTTCCTTTTGTGGTTCCTCCGCCCCCGCCCCCCTGTCGCCGCCGCGCCCTCCCCCTCTTCAGTCCGCCCCGCCTCGCTCCCTCAACGCTCCCCCGCTTCCCGCCTCCGCGTCCCTCTGGGTCGTCCTCCCCTGGTGCCTTTTTTTCCCCCCCCGTCCCCCCCTTCCCCCCGCCTGGCTCCCTCGCGCCGCCACCCCCCCCCTGCCTGGTGTCCCCCTTGCCCCGCCTCCCCCTTCTCTGCTCCTCTCCTCCGGGTCCTGGCTGTCTGGCGCCCCCGCTCCGTTCTCCTGGTCTGTCCTCTCCTCGCCCGTCCAGACGCTGGCGGTGTCAGGTTGCCCTATTGTCTTGTTTTTGGCCTTGCCCTGTGCTCCCTTTGCTCCCCCGCCCTCCCTCTCCCTCGATTTTTTCCTTCTTCTGCTCCCTCTCTCCTCGCGTCCGCTTTTGCCCTCCTCGCTGCCTGTCCGTGCTCGCTTTCCCCGCCCTGTTCTTCGTGTGGCTCTGTCCCCTGCCGTGATTGTGCTGCCCCTTCCCTTCCTCCCCTCCCCCCTCTCCCCTCTTCCTCCGCCTTCCCCCCCTGTCCTGCCCCTCCCTCTCCCCTCCTCCCTCTCTTCCCCCTCCCCCCTGCCGCCTTCCTCCATTTCTTCCTTCCATTCCTCTTCCCATCCCCTTCCGTCCCCCCCTCTCTCCCCCATCCCTTTTCCCTTCCTTCACCCACTCACACTCTCTTCCCCTCACCGCGCCGCTTCCCCCCGCTTCTTTCCCCCGTCCCATTGCCCATGATTTCTATTTCTCGTTCTATCCTCTGCTTCTCGTCTGTCTTTCGCACTGTGCGCCTCACCCCCACTCCCCCTCCATTCCCCGCTCTTCAATCCCTCGCTGGAGTCCCCTCCTTCTTTTCCTCTGCCCTCTTCCCCCTCTTCCCCCCCCTGCCCTCCTCTTCTTGCCGCTTGTTTTCTGCCCTTCTGCTCCCCCCTTCCCGCCCCCCCCTACCCCTCCTCCCCTTCTTCCCTGCTCTCTCTAGTTTTTTTCTCGCCGGTCCCCCTCCGCCCCCTCCCCTTCTTCCCCCCCGTTCCGCCCCTTCCCTCGCCCTCACTGCTCCCCCCGCGTCCCGCCTGACTGCGTTGTGCCCGCTCTTTTTTCGTCCCCGGCGGCCCCACTCACCTTCCGCTCGGTGCCTCTCGCCGTGGCACACTCCCCCTTCCGCTCGGTGCCTCTCCCCCTGGACTGCTCTCCGCCTTCGCTCCTCCCTGCCTGGGGGGGGGGGGGGGGGCGGCACCCCTCCCTCCTCCCAGACTCCTCCTCCTACTTGCCCCCCCCCTCTCTTCCTCTCCTGTCTCTCGCCCCCTCCTTAGGTCCGGGTTTCGCGCCCTCCTCCGCTCTCTCTTTCGCTTTATCTGCCCGCGCTGCCGGCCTGCGGCTTCGCCCCTTCTGCCGGCTGCCACGCCTCGCGCGCCCTTTGGCTCTCGAACCTCCCCCCCTCCCTGATGCACCCATCCTCCACTAGTCATTAATAAGTGACGACCTTTTAGAAGTGGAACATATACAGGAGTGAGATTGATTTAGGCTAGATTAGAATTGTTCCAACGAAAAAGCTAAATTATGTTCAATGACTGGTAGAGCTACTTATTGAAAGAAAGAATCAGTACTCAGGAAGTCGCTAAATGAAAATTGGCAAATACTCAATCTCTCAGTAGCCTTGGAAATCTTTGTAAAACGATTGGCAGTGCAGAAATCACAGGTCTACACGAATAAAAAGTAACTTTGCAATATAGAACGCATCGATAATTCTGAAATTTAATATATCAAACTTGAGACAATAAAACATCCCCCGAAGAAGAAGATTATGGAAATCAAAATTAGAAGTGCTAGAAAAGTTATTGCATTAGCAGCATTAGAAGCTTTAACGGACTTGCCAGAAGTAAGATAAAAACAGTATGTTGGGAATCAAACTTGTGAGTTCTATTAATGCAATAGCCCATTTTTTTACTTTACGCAGTCAAAAAGGCAATAATTCTCTTTTAAACATTAATGTTACAAACAAAAAAAAAAAAGAATAGAATCGAATAGGCAATGAGAGAAACACATAAACCAAATAAAAAAAACATTATAATTATTGTTGTAGATTTCTAAACAAAAAGAACGCATCCTGTCCATTTTCTGTTTCACTAAAACCTCCCCAGAGCACTAGACTCAAAGCTAGTTGAATATATGTGAAAGAATTTAGTCAACCCTTTTCTTTTCCTCAAATAATGCCACATCTCAGGGCAGGGCAAGATGCAAGATTGAGATCTCAAAAACAACAAAAGATATACTCATTCAATCAGTTGAAGGGGTGACAACTAGGTCTTGCTTAAGTCCCCAGAAACGAGCTGGTTCAAATGTTCCATCTATTCTGTCCCCAAAACACTTTCACTGCGTAAGTTCCCTGTCTATTTCAGATTAGTTTAGCCATTTCTTCTCCTATTTCTGTGGGGTCATACTTTTATACCTCGCAATCTAAAAGACTCGATAGGTTTGAGAAAGGTTTGACAAATAGTTTCGAAATCAGATAAACTATATAAAATGGATAGTTTTGAAATATTAATTAACTGTGAAAACAATGAGTAATATAATATGTTACTCAAAGCCATTATATATTTGATTCCAATGCAAAAGAAAATCAGCTCGAAATTCCTCTTTGCCAAAGTTTCTGGTTCTTTTCATGGACATCCCAAGATAAGAAAGCCACTAACTAGTTTTTGATATCTTCATGGTATCTTTAATAAATATGTGAAGTGTGTAAGCTCCATGCTGCGTCCTAATGCGCACACTCCCAAAAATGCCCCTGTAAATGTTCACAATTTCAGAACTGCCGTTTGTGTAGACTTGTTTTGTAGCTGGTTTGTAAATAGCAGAGAAAGCAGATATATATACACTGGTCCTCTTTCAATTTTGGTGTAGTTAAGTTTGCAAAATTACCCATATCATCTATTTTGGTGACACTCTTGTGCTTTTCAATCAACTTTTCCCTGTTGGATTAGCCTTTAGTTCACTTTGAAAAACATTATTTAAACCCAGAAATATTCCCAATTGTATAACAAAATGCGATTAATCTTCATTGCAAATATGGGTCCTAATTTTTATGTAAAATGCAAGACTCATAAGAGATTAGCATCTCACCAAAATTGTTAGTTTATGTAGATAAAATTATTATTATGGTTTTTAGATTGTAGTGAAATCCGTGCAAGGTCTAAATTACTAACCATCAATTGGTGGACAGACTGAGATGATGGATCAAATGCTTGAAAGCAGCCACCCTGCTTCCAAGGGACAGCTCCAAGAACAAAGTACGTTTCACCTTCAGAAGCAAAATGCGGGGACTGCAAACATAAAGGCAAAATATGGAGACAAGATTGTGAAAGTGCCACCCCCTGCGACATCAGGAATTGTTAAGTTGAAGGAAGAATTGGCAAGGAGATTGGGGTTAAAGCATGGCAGCTTCTATGTGGAGTATGAGGATGAGGAACATGATTGGATTCTAATAGCCTGTGATGATGCCTTGCAGGAGTGTTTGACATCTTCAATTCTTCTTTGCTTTGGTTTACTAAATTTCATTTTATGATAAAGGTGAAGGATTATGATGCAGAAAATTACAAATTATATGAAGAAGTTAGAGAAGGTGTCAGCGCCACTGTTCACCGGGCTCTCTGCATTCCTTTGTGTTGACTGGGATTTGGGAATGTATCCTGCTCAAAATTGTCTTTGTTGTACATGAACCTATTATGATTAATTGAATACGAATCCCTATTCTGCATTGTAATGATGTGTAATACGCTTGACTATTCCATTGCATCTGCATGTGCAAGCAAATGACTTAACTTATTTTTTCTTTTTATTTTTTAATTATGTTTGTTGTTTGATTTTGGTTTAGACACAATCATGTAATGTTTATTTAGTCAATATATTGAAGTAGCTGTAAAATTTTATTCATATTATTGTTATTTTTCAGCTTTATTACAGGTATGTTTTTTAGTTAAATATAACAGATTCAGAACAATTTTTTTTTAAAAAAAAGAGCTATAACGGCGTTTTTTCAAAACGCCACTACAGTGCCAACGGACATTTTTTTAAAATAAAAAAAATCTATCACGGCGTTTTAAAAACGTCGCTAAATATTGGATGACGTCATTTTATCATTATTTATCACATTTAGCGGCGTTTTTAAAAACGCCGCCTATACTAATTTTACAACGTTTTTAAAGCGTCATAAACTTATAGCGACGGCCGCGTCCTCGACGTTTGGTGATAAGCGTCACTAAAGAAATTAGCGGCGTTTTTCATACATATAGCGGCGTTTTTAAAATGCCGCTAAAAGTCATTTTTCCAGCAGTGTCTCTTGTTGAATTGAAGCTAATGTAATATGTGATGCCCTGGGTTACCTGTTTTGTTTTGGTTATTTGGTTGTATATAATGCAATTTTTGTTTTTTAAAACTTGGGTCTTTGCCTGAGATTAGATTGCAAATGAAATATTCTGGAGTCTTTGTCGATCTTCTCTTTTATTGCCAAATGAACTAGGGAATGGCTTTCCTGTGGCAGGCAGTTTGCTCAAAACTAGGGAATGGTTTTTTTAAACTTGGGTCTTTGCCTGAGAAAAATTGCTCTGCCTTGTATGTTAATTTTCTAATATAATGACTTAAAGCTACTAGAAGAAAAAGTTATCCAAATGTAGGGTTCTGCTTAGATATATGAAATTTAAATGTTAAAATCTGAGGTTGAAGTTCGGATGAAAATAAAAGGGAATATAAAAAATTTAAGTGGTCACAGCAGAAAATTACACTTGAAAATCTTAAAATAAGAGGGAATATATATTATGATTATAGGTAAATGTATATTTTTTATAAACAGTATATATGAAATTTTTTTATAGAATTTGAATAATTGCAATGAGATTTATATGATTCCTAATATGATGATCAAATTTATATTTTAAACTTAAAAAAAATTCAATTTGTGAGAATCTCAAAGCAATCTCACAAGTCTTAACAACACCACTCTAATCTAATAGTGAACAGAAAAGAATCCCTTCCTATATGTTCATTGAAAGTCACTGAACCCAGAAAAATGGCCCACATGTATTTTCCCGGACTTTTTTTTCTAAACATATTTAAACCAAAAGAAATTTAGACATAAAAAAAGCTAGCGCAGCTAAAAAGGAGGTTGTTAAAAACCCATGAAACCATGTACACCAAAACAAAGACCCGCAACCAAATCCATCCATACAACGCACTGTTCCGAAACAACAAAAGAGAAACAACCCTCCTCAGCACACCCCCAAAACTCCACACCCCAAAATCACTTACAACAACCCAATTAGTAGTAATCCTCTCTTACATAACCAATTAGTGCATGGGTTAGTGCAAAAAAACATCTTAACAATTAGCATTCCAATTCCAATCACTCTCATAATTTCCATGATTTCCAGGAAAAGAATCAATGAAAGGTGATCACCAAAACCACCTTTCTTCAATGCCTTAGTGTCTGCAGGAGCTCGAAAGGAGTAGCAGTGGAATTCTCAGCAAGGATCGAAGCATAGAGGAAGAGCTTCTTGTTCTTGCTTGTAAATGCGGAGGCCCAGATGGAACAGAGGCAAGGTTTCTTGTTTGGAGTTGGAGTATATCACGGTTGATTCCAAAACCATCGTGATCCCAGTGGTATTGAATCTCAACGGTGCCAGATTCAATGCCCACACCGCACCAGAAAGTTTTTCATATTCCCACGATTATCTGGCCTTGCTGTTTTCGCTGATGCCACCGAGGTAGAAGCACCTTGGGGTAGTGTGGTAGGAACCCTAATTCGTTTTGTAGGTAGGTAAATATTGGTGGCTGCAAACAACTGAGAAACCACAATTTTATGGTAGATGAAAGTAAGTTCAACTATCAAGTAAAAATTCAATACAACAATGGTGATTATCATGTTCATCGTAACCTTTGGTATTATCATTCAATTCATAATATATTTATAATCTATAGTTCTATATACTATACTATACTATATATGGCAAAAATGTATGAAATATAAAAAATTTTCCAAATTTCTTAATATTAAACTTTGACGATTCTTCTCTCTTATGTGTCACCTCCTTCAAGATTCTTTTCTCTTCTTTTGTGTA